AAAAACTTGCAATTTTCCAACCCGTAAAGGACTTTTTGTAACATTTGAGAAGGTTGAAGCAGATCAGTTTTTCTTAAGATGTGTTTCTCGTAACACTCGATCTGCAGGATGCTAACAGGCCTCCATGAAAAATGGCTTCTGTGGCCCAGAGGGCTTGGAAAACTTAGGGAGAAACAAAATGGCTCAGCTTTTAGTCACGAATGTCCATCATGTTCCCTTGGGAGAAGTGGTAGTTTAGCAGCTGCCCTGGGTGCAGGACCATTCTCTGCCTTTGTCATTGCCACTGTTGATGTCAGTAATATCTTTGGGATTGATTCAGGGTGTCAAATGGGTGTTAATCAAATGCACAGCTTATCAGTTGGTCACAATGGTTGCCAGTGATGGGAATGTCATTCTTTGGAACCTAACTTGCTTGGACTTGGTGTATCTACTGTTGCACAACAAACTTCCTAAAACCTTAGGAGGATAAAGCAACAAAGAACATTTATTACCTTACTGTTGCTGTGGAGTAGAGGATCAGAGATGGCTTAGATGAGCGATGGCTTTGATGGCTCCCTGCATCTCACGAGGCTGCAAACATCTGATCTCACTTTCTGGTATACAAGCCGTGTGCAGTCCCTTCCCACAATGCATAGGTCTGACTTACGCAATCCCACGCAATGTTGCAGAATGATGGATGGTGAATTTTAAGGCTAGGTCACAAGACACTGTGGTGTTCGCTCTGTTCTCTTGGATCACTTGCTGTGGGGGACGTCAGCTGCCATGTTGTGAGAATGCTCATCTAGTCTGATAAAGAGTCCACATGGCCAGGAACTGAGGCCTCCAGTCAACAGTCAGCACCAACTTGCTGGTCCTGTGAGGGAGCCTTCTGGGAATGACTGACATTTCAGCTATGACCTCATGGCGACCCTAGCCAGATCTATCTTGCTAAACTGCTTCTCAATGTCTGATTCACAGAAATTGTGTGAGATGGTAAATATTTATTGCTTTGGGACAACTTGTTACACAGCAATAGATAATTAATCGTTTTTGTAATAGATAATTAACGCACATGCTCAGTGCTAAGACTTTGCAATAAACAGCTGCTTTAGCTTAAGGGCTGAGGAGCCTGCTTACTTTCTGCATGAGTGCATTTTCTGTTGTGATAACAGAATACCTGAACCTGGGTAGCTTATAAAGAAATTAAATTTTTTTCTCACGGTTCTGAGGCTGGAAAGTTTAAGGTTGAGGAACCACATTTGGCGAGGGCCTTTTTGCTTCCCAAAGTGGCCCAGGGCATCAAATAGAGAGGTGGCCCATGAGAGACAAACTAGCTTTTATAACAGACCCACTCTTGTAATCGCTAACTTACCCTCTCGATAACCCATTCATGCATAAACGAATTCAACTTGAACTAATCATCTCTAAATACTATCAGCATAAGTCTTTGAGGGTTAACTTTCCAGCTCATGAATTCTGAGGGGCAAACATTCAAATCACAGCACTTTCCAAGCTCAGGATGGCCTTAATCAATGTCCTCTTACTGACCCCTAATGGTTATGGCATCTGTGGAAGGTTTAACTTAAGAGGGTCATTGGCTTGAGGCATTGATGGGGGGAAGCCCCTCAGGATTAGGGGTTTATATGACTTGTGACATTCTTATCAGCCATTGCCAGTTGGGTGCATGGCTTTTCCAGTCCAACATACTTGACCACTGAATCTCTCTTTGTGCAGTGGACACCATTGGTCCCTTCTTCCTTCTCCCTTCCTTTTAAGAGAGAGCCAGAAAAGATGGTCCTCTTATTCTTTTTGATGTCATTGTGCCTGGAACTGCTTCTGCCATCCTGTTGCCCCAGGAGAAGGGCAAACTGAGCTGTAACATAGTTTGTTGTCCCTTCAACAATAACCAACTCACCAATAATCCTCACCTGTCTGCACTTTTACACATTCATCTTTACCCCATCTCTGACTATTGTATAGCAAATTCCAGTCATATTGATTCATACATAAATTTCAATATCTTTAAAGACGAGGGTCCTTTTAACATCAATCACACCTTGACTCCCCCAAATAATTCCTTACTAAATATCCATGACTATTGGTTCCTACATGGCTCATGGTATATATAAGAACATAAAGTCTCCTTGTGTCAAGTCAAAACCAGTGCCTGCTGGGAGACATAATTACTATTTAACATTTAATAATAAACTGTGCCTGGGACATAAGTGTTAGTAATGTTTAAAAGGGTAACTGAGCCCAAATCCCTACTGTGAAATGCATAGTTGGGCAAATGTGGATTGGAATCTTGCTGGTTAATAAGTATGACTATGGCTAAGTAACTAAACTACAACTAGCTAAAAATATTAGTGTAGTGGGTCCATGTACCTTGATTGCCGGAGCAAGAGGCAGAGGGAACAGAGACTCCCCTGCATCCCAGAAATTGCATTTTTCTCCCTAGAAATCATTTCCCCTTTCCACTGTCCACACTTTGACCCTTCCCTACCCATTCAGTGTTTACATGGAGGAGGTAGTATTTCTTTGTTAAGTTGTATGTCTTAACTCAGCCCAAGATTATAAGGAAGGGTTCAGTGTTGGTGAGAATTATACTTTGAGTGTTTAAAATAACATTTCCTTAAAGGCTGTTCCAACAATTTACTGGGGTGATGAAAGATGGAGGGAACTCTGATTATACTGTGAAACACCTAAAGCTTGAAGTTTAGGGGAGCTACTTAAAACCTCCCTTAAAAACTACTTAAAAACTTTCTGAGAGGGTGATTCATCCATATTTCTTCTTCTTTCTTTTTTTTCAGTACTGAACTCAGAGCCTGGTGCTTGGTACTCTCCACTTGCGCCACTCTCCCAGTTCTTTTGCTTTTAGATCATTTTTCAGACAGAGTCTCCTGTTTTGCTTCACTGGCCTCAGATTGTGATCCTTCTGCCTCTGCCTTCCTTGTTGCTGGGACCAGAGTTGAACGCCACCACTCCTGGCTTGTTTTTGAGACAGGGTTTTGCCAACGCCAGATTCTCCTGGCCATTATCTTCAGAACACTTATGATTTGTGTTTCTATGTTTATTTTATTTATTTTTTACTTTTGAAGGGTCTGCTTTTTATTTTTTCTTTCTCCCCTCCCCCCTCTGTACTGCAGCTTGAATTTAGGGCCTCTTTCTTGCTAGGTGAGTGCCTGACCTCTTGAGCCTCCCTGCAGGAGGCACAGACTCCACTGATACATAAGTAGGAGTCGACTGCATAGGCCATTCTTTAAAAACATAAATGTAATCACAAACTCTCCTGCTTAAGGCATTTCAACAGCTTCCCAATGCTGTTAGCATAACTCCATTCTCTTTACCATGGCCAATAAAGCCTATTGGGAAGACTGTCTCTCTACCAGGCACTGTTCTAGGCTCTGGGGATATGCTGGTAGACATTACAAACTTAGTGTTAAGTGCTCTCATGGAGCCTGCAGTCTAGTCAATGAGGCTGTGAATAAAGGAGAAGTCAAGCATCAACAGGCTGAGATATTTAACCATCTGAGGAGGAAGTAGGAGAGGGAGTAATGAGGAGAGACAGGCGTTACCTACTTGGAGGGGAGGATCTGGCACTTTGAGTAGTAAAAATAATATCTGTATAATTAGAGACATTTGACACGGGTTGTAGGCAGTGACTATAAATAAGAATGTGAAGGGCAATAGGCTTTTAAATAAAGGTTGTAAGGAAATATAGGCCCCAAAGTGACCACGTGGAGAGGAGTGATCTGGCCAAGAGATTCTTTATTGCTGGGTGGGAGAGTAAGAGAGCAGAGAACCAAGAGAGAGAGGGAGAGAGGGGCAGGGGCTTAAGTACCCCTCAGTGGGACTCAGCATGATCTGATTGGTTAGGATCTTATGGTTCATGCTGATTGGAGGTTGGGGCAGAAGGAGGATTCAGGCTAGACTTGAGGCAGGACTGTGACCCTGGGAGGCAGGACCGTGACCCTGGAAAACAGAAGCTTAAGGGTGCAGTAAGAACCGAAACCTATTGGCGCCATTATTGCCAACAGAGGTTTAGTCCCCTTTGAAGATGGAGCCTTATTTAAAAAGATCCAGACAAGATGCAATCTTTGATTCTCCCTCACTGATGGGTAACTTTCTCCTCCAAGAAACAAGTTTTTTGGTTTTTTTTTTTTTTTGAACACTGAGGATTAAACTCAGGGTCTCTGGGGATTGAATTTAGGGTCTTATTCTACCACTTGAGCCACATCTCTAGTCATTTTGTTTTCAGTTTGTTTTTCAGATAGGGTCTTAGGCAAATTTTGCTGGTCTGGTCTGGACCCCATCCTTCTCTCTGCCACCAGAGTAGCTTGGATTACAGGCCTGAGTTACCATACCTGGACGTCAGAAAACCTTTTTATAGCATTTGGTAGACCCAAGATCATCCAGTTCCCCCAGGCCCTGCATAGATGGATAGACACTCAGAGAAAGACACGTGATCACCAATGGCTTCTCCTTTAGAACAAGTCACTTTCTAAGGTAGCATCAACCAATGGAAATATAAAGGGAACCACAAAGGACATTCTCATGTGTAATTTAAAAAATTTTCTATCAAGCACATTTACAAAATAAAAAGAAACGGTGAATTTAATTTTATAATACATTATCCAAAAATATCATTTCAACTCCAGTGTGTATTTTATTTACGCTTATGGCACATCTCAATTTGGACTAGACATAGATCTAGCGCTCGGTAATCGCATGTGCTAGTGCTGCAGTGCTGAGCCTCAATTTCTTTATTTGTGAAATGAGGATGAAATGATAAAACTGCCCATGTCGCTGGAAGGCTTCTAAAAGCACATGTGCAACACCCAGCACTCCGCCCTACACATAGGGGGCGCGCAGTAGATCTCGCTTCGTTTGGGTGCTTTGTCTCGCCTTATCGCTCTCCTCCAAGGCTCCGCCCCTTCCCCGCCCCCTTCAGGCTCCGGGCGGAAGCAGTACTGTCATAAATGTGGCGCGCTTTGCGGTAGAGCTGCCTTTTACTTCAGTGTGGCTGCCTCTCCGGTCTCACGCACTTTTACCTCATTGGCTCTGAGGCACCGCTCGCGGAGCTTTACGGCAGTGTGGCTGGAGCGGCTGCTGAGTGGCCGGTGGTCTAGGCGTGAGTGGAAAGAAGCCGGAGTACCCAGTGTTGAGTTGGCCGGGAAGCATGGATGTGGGAGAACTTCTCAGCTACCAGGTAAGTGGAGCAGGAAGGGCCGGGGATCTACCCCTTATCCGGGTAGGGGTCACAGGGCCAGAGTCCCTTCATCCCACCTGCACTCATTCCCGGGCCCCTTCATTTCTCATGTCACCCGGGGTTCCGGCCTCTGGTTTCACCTCACTCCCGGAAGCCTTCCTGGGCCTTTCGATTCGTTGCTTCTTTAAATCTGAGCCCCTTCACCTCCTCTCGCCGCACCCCGGGCCTGGCTCCCCTCGGCAACTCGAAGCCCCGGCCGCCCTGTGCTCACAGCCAGCCCCTGTCTGTTGTCTTCCTCCGCTCCCCGTCCCGTCGTGGAGTTTGAGGTGGTGGCGGCGGGACAACCCTGGTTTTTCTTGGATTTGAGCTCCAGCTTCACCACTGACTGCGTGTGTGACTTTTGCACAAGTCATTTCCCTCCTCCCCGCGCCTCAGTTTTTGTATCTATAAAGTGGAAACAGTAATAACTACCTAGGAGAATTGTTTGACCACGGTTCCAGTTAATGGATGTGAAAGCTGATGGTAGAGTACAGGCAGCGGCGACCGTGTTAGCTGAGGTTAAGATGTTTGGAATTGCAGTGTGGGACGGCCCCCGAGGGACCATCTTGGCCCTCGTGCTCAGGGGACTCCTAAGAAGAACCTGGCCCAGACGGCAGAAAGAACTTGACTGGGGTCATTCAACAAGTCAGAGCTGGGATCAGAGCTCAGGTGTCCTGGCTCCCAACCCAAAGTTGCCCCCCTCTTTTGGCTTCCTGGAAAGAGACAGTAGGGCTGCTGTCTTGTCTGTCCATTCTGGTGGTCACTAGTCACATAGGGCATTCGAACGTGTGAGCTTTTGACTAGTCTGAGACTAGTCTGAGTTGAGGCATACTGTAAATGTAAAATCACACTGGAGTTTGAAGACTTAGTGTGAAAGAGTTTTTATATTGATTACATGGTCATCTTGATCATATCCGCTACATCAGATACTGATTATACTGATTAAATGATTGTACTTAGGGCAATGGGTGAAATAGAATACATTTTAAATCAATTTTACTTCTTTCTGTTGATATTTTAAAATGTGACTAGTAGAAAAATTTATTTATTTTTAATAGTATTGGGAATTGAACCCAGGGCCTTGTGCCTTCTATGCAAGTGCTCTACCACTTGAGCCGTGACCCTAGTCCTTTTGTTTGTATTTTGTTTTTGAGATAGAGTCTCACTGACTTTGCCTAGGCTGGCCTTGAACTCTTGAGCCTTTTATCTCCGCCTCCTGAGTAGCTGGGATTATAGATGTGCACCACCATGCCCAGCTGAAAATTTAAACTTTAATACATAAATTTCACATACAGATGGTCTTATATTTCTGTGGACTGCTCTGCAGTCAAGAATAGGTGATAAAGAGCCTTATGTCTGGAGCCCCAGGTTGCTTGAAATCAGTTTTGCTACTAACTGGCTGCTGCAACCTTAACAAATTTAACCACTCTGTATCTTGGTTTCCTCCTGTGAATGGTGTCGATGATGGTACCTACTTCATAGAGCTGGTGTGAAGCTGTTGAGAAATATAAAGTGGTTAGACCAATTCTTGTCAAAGAATAAACATGTATTAGCAATTATTTTTGTGCCACTCCCTCAGTCAATATATAGAAAACTGACCTTGGAGACTCCATACATGGTGGGAAAGAACTTGTATGTAATGGGGAAGTATGAGGCCGAGATAATTTTTGGTTTAAGACTATAATTGATGGTGAAATAAGAAAGGAAATGGGATGCTGTGTGTTGTTTGAGAGCTCTGGAATGGCTAGCCCATTGACTCAGACATAGAATAGCACTACTAGAAGAGATTTATTCTATGGTCATAAATATTTATTGAGTATCTGCTGTGCATGGTATTGTGTCCACTGGGCATACAACATCAAATAAAACAGACAAGGCTCTTGCTTTTGTCTGCATGGCAAGTCTGATGGGAAGTCTCAATAAGTGAGTAAGCAAACAAGAAAGTAACTTGTAACTGGCAATTATGGTGCACAATTGTAATCCCAGGTACTTGGGAGGTGGAGGTAGGAGGATCTTGGTCAGAGGCCAGCCCTGGTAAAAGCGTGAAATCCTATTTAAAAACCATCTAGAAGCAAAAAGGACTGGGGGTGTGACTCAAGTGGTAGAGGCCCTGAGTTCAATATCCAGTACTGCCAAAAAAGAAAAAAATTCAGTTGTAATAGGTATGATGAAGGAAATATGGCAGGTTATCCTGTGTGATTTGGGATGGTGGCTAGTAGGCCAGTGTGATGATTGAACGCCTGAAATGTGGCTGGTTTGCATTGAGCTCTTGTGTATGTGCAGAATACACTCTGGATTGCAAAGGTTTAGTATGAAAAACTGAAAGTGAAATATCTTAATTTTTTTATTGATTACATGTCAAAATGGTAATATTTAAGATATATTGGATTAAAGAAAAAATATTTTTATAATTAATAACACCCTTAAACTTTATTAGCGTGTCTACTAGAAAATTAAAAATTACATGTGCGGTTATTTGTGGCTTTCGTTATGTTTCTACTGGACAGTAGTGGAGCAGGAGAAGAGGACAGGACCTACATAATGTGGTCAGGGAAGGAGTCTGAGAGCAGATGTAAGTGGACTGAAGTTTGAGAAGGAGCCAGCCATGTGAAAGGAGTGGAATGATGGAGGCAGAGAGCAGCAGGATAGGCACAGGCAGGGCTGGCAAGGCCTGATAGAGGAATAGAAAGGGGAACTATGGAGCCAGAGCGTGGAGAGTGAGCAGGGGAATGGGAGGCGATGAAGCTGGAGACCAAGGCAGCTGACAGCACATGTCAGACTTCCTTGTGGACCATGATAAGGAGTTTGAATTTTGTTTGGAGAGGTGATAAATATTTCTTCACTCAGCCTACTTGTTAACAGTTAAAAGTGAACCCTAGTCTGTTAAAGGGATTTAACTGAGGTTGTAGGGCAAGGTACTAGCTGATTTAAAACCAAAATCCTAATCTCCTTATTTCCAGTTCTGTTGATTCCCCACATACACTATTCATGTGCTTTCCTTCCAGTAAAATCCATGTCCACTGCTATTCCTAAACTGGAGTCAAGTCCATAATCATCAAATGCACCCATCCCTTTGGAACACCACAGGGACCAGATGCGTTTATGGATGTGAAAACTCTGAGCCACAATAACGTTCTGTAGACATGAAAGGTGAATTCCTTATCTGCATCTCTAAATCCTTGTAACAACCCTGTGAGGAGGGAACTGTTTTTTATCCCTTTTGTTCAGAGAAGGAAACTAAGATACTAAAAAGTACCTGTCTGAAGGCACCTAGCTAGCTAGTGGCAAGGCTAGAGTACTCATGCAGTCTTATTCTGCGGCTGGAGCTCCTGGTCACTGTGCTGTTCTGCCTGTCTACTGTGCCAGGCAAAGCGCTTGCAGATAAGTTATCACATGTACTTCTCAGATGCCCTCTAAGGTAGGTGGCTTGCGTACTTTATGGAAAAGGAAACTGAAGCCTGAGAGGAAAAAGTTGCCTGCCCTAAGTCAAGCAGCCAGCAAGGAACAGAGTCAGAACTAAAGCCAACTGAACACCCACATGAGTTTTCCACTTTGTTTTCAGATTTTATTTTATTTGTTATTTACTTATTTTGAGGGTTTTTTTTGAGACAGGAACTCTCTTTGTAGCACAGCGTGGCCTGGAATTCACCATCCTCTTGCCGCAGCCTCCCAAGTGCTTGACTTGTTTTCAGACTTAAAAAATCTTTTAAAATTGGGGCAGTGAGGGCATGGCTCAAGTGGTAAAGCAACTGCCTAGCAAGCATGAGGCTCTGAGTTCAAACTCCAGTGCCACCAAAAAAGCTGAGTACCTGTGGTTCACACCTGTAATCCTACCTATTTGGGAGTCTGAGATTGGGAGGATCATGGTTTGAAGCCAGTTTATGCAAAAAAGTTTGTGAAACAGGAAAAATCTGGGTGTGGTGGTATGCACATGTCATCCCAGCGATGGTGGAAAGCATAAAATAGGATCATGGTCCAAGCCAACCTGGGCAAAAAGTGAGACCCTATCTCTAAAATAACCTCAGCAGAAAGAGGTGGAGGAGTGGCTCAAGTTGTAAAGTGCCTATCTAGGAAGCACACTGAGTTCAAAGTCCAGTACTGCCAAGAAAAAAAAGAAAAGTAGTACACATGTGGAGGAACGCATAAATCTTAAGTGCCATTGGCTCTAGTTGTGTTTTACAAAGTAGATGCACTCTGACCCCTGAAGTTCACTTCTTGGGAACATGAGGGAGTGAAGTCTGATTTGAACATCTGCACCTCCAGAGTTTGTTTCAGCAAGTCTTCTGTGGGACCTTAGATTTTGCATTTCTAATCAGGTCCCAGATGATGCCAAAGCCACTGCTCCAGGGACTGTATTTTGAGATCCCTGGTCTAGAATGGTCTACATTTCTTTTAAACTTTTCCCCAGTGGCGGCATCATCCCTTTTCATGGGATCTGGTTTGCAGATTTTTCATCTCAAGTTATACCTTTCCCTGCCATTCAGGCTTTTGAGAGCAAATCATTTAATCTTTCTGGGCCTCAATTTCTTCATATGCCTAATGAGGGGATTAAGTAAGATTCTTTCTGACGTCCCTTATAGTGCTAAAATTCTGTGGTACTAATTATTTAGGCCAAGGGCTCCAGAGATTCCAAGGGATAAAAAAAGCTTGATGTAGTAGAAGGAATCAGGGCTGAAAATCTGGGAGATTTGGGTTTTAATCCCACCTTTATCATTACTTATCTGGGTGACTTAGGAAAAGTCACCTCCTTTCTCTGTTCATTTTTGTCATCATTTGTAAAATGAAGAGTTTGAGCTATATGACTTAGGGTTCTTTCCATTCCTAAAATTCAGGGACTAAGGTGAGCAAGGAAAAATATCAGAGTATCAAGAATGTTTATTAAAACTATTTAACATTTTTTGTGTGCTTATTAAGTTTCCTTTTTGGGGGCAACTTGGTGGGAAGATTCCAATTTTCTGCTA